TACCTGTGATTTGCTCCTTTTATTTCTTGTAATCAATAAACCTTTTATTTGTTTTGAAAAGAAACCCATGTCCTTTTGATTTTAAGGATAGGTTGGTGGCAGCAGTTTTTGGTGAGAGGTAGTGATCACTCTTATAGGCCTGGATGGGTAGAGGCTTGAGAGTGGCCTGCTACATTAGGTAACTTGTATCCTATCTGAATTCTAGCAACATACTATCTAAATCATGCTAAGTAAATAAAAGAGCTCTCAGGGCGTTGCCTGTAGGCTCCGCTGGCTCAGACATCCTCTGTCAACTCCTTTGTTCTTTCTCTAAGGCAATTAGCCTTCTTTTGTTCCGTGATCACTCACAGTATTGTTAGATTGCAAGCTTACATTTCCTTAAATAGAAATAAATCTCACTGAAGTCAACAGAACTTGTACATATATACAGAGTCATGGCATCAGAGCCCTTAGTGGGACCCAATATGAGCAATACTCAAGTTGATGGAGTTTCTGTTCTGGCTTTGGATGCCATTTTGCCAGTAGAGGCAGCTGTTCCACCAACCACTGCCACATTACAAGCCTGAACACACAGTCTCTTGTACAAGGAGGATGGAATACGGCCCTATGGTATCTTAAGCAAGAACCCCTTTCTGTTAACACTGAAACCCAGCAAAAGCCCCAATAAAGAAGTTCCAGAGAAGTTCATTTCTTATGTACTATTTTAAAGGTTTGTTAAAGATTTCTTAAACAAAAGTGGGTTTCCTGAAGACCACTTAAACTGATTTTTAAAGAAATGTGTGGATATGAATCTTGGTAAAGAAGGTGGAACAAATACGTCATTTGGAAGAGACTGGTCTTTTAAAAAATGTTACACTTGAAAATGCGGTTTTTTTCAGTGGTTAGGACCAGAAATGACTTGAAGCTGTTCATGGCTGAATAACAAATGTATTTCACACTAGGAACAGAGTAAAATTGTGAGCACCTTTTGTTGTATTATACAGGATGAAACATATTCATTAAAAGTCAGTGAAGCAACATTACATGAAGAAAATGATAATATTAACCAAAATCAGACCAATTGTTACACACAGAAACACCAAGCAGAATATGATTCCATTCTCATTAAAGCCGTCTAAACGGATACAATATGGATCAAAACTATATTAATTTTGTAAATGGACTATAAGGCATATAAGATCAATGTCTATAGAACGAGCAGCTGCTTCAAATGTTATTTAGCCCCAGAGTGACTGTTTTAAATGCAGCCCTGAGAGTTCTCACCTATGACTTCTGCAAATCAAAATATGATTGAAAGAGAAACTAAAGCATTATAGCTACCTAATCCAATGCAGCGATCTGAATGGCTTGTTTTTAAAAGTCCAGATAGGAATTAAAACCACCTCCTGCTAGGTCCCAGATGAAGGATCCAGAAAAGGTTCAGAATAGGACAATCAGTTAAGAGAAATGTGAGTTAAAGAATCATAGAATCATAGAATAATGGAGTGGGAAAGGGCATGTGAGGCCATCAAGCCCAATTCCTGCTCAAGGCAGGAATCCCAAGTCAAACTAGATCAGACAGAGGGTGGTCCCATTTCCTCTTCAGTGTCTCCAGCGTTGGAGCACTCACCACCTGCCAAGGTCATTGGTTCCATTGTCATACTGCTCTAACAGTTAAGAAGTTTTTCCTGGTATTCAGTCTAAAGAAAAGGGAATAAGGAATAAGCTGAGAGCCTTGAAACTAGGAATCAAAGCTCAACAGAAGGTCTACGAGTGGGGAAAGCTTCTTCTCTTAGGGTGCAGGGCCTTTTGGTTCCATTGACACTCCTGAAATTTCCTGCTTTCTCACAGGTTCTGGTCCCATCTTCCTCAGTTGCCAGTCACAAGATAATTCTTCGCTAGTCAATAACATGGTGGGGCCAAAACCTAGGGAGACCGTTCTGTATTGGTTTTATGGCCCTAACGTGACCTGAGGCTCCATATCTCTGTGGAAAGTCCATCTCGGGATCATTTCCAAGGAGCAGATTTTCGAGGGGCAGCAAATTTTTGTCTCCCTTTCCCATACTAACTGCTTGTTCTGAGCCAAAAGAAGCTTTGTAAACACAGCGAAGTCTTTCCTGCATCCCGTTTTCCTGGGATCCAGGCTGATCTCTGGCCTCTGGTTCCCCCTTTGAGCCCACCGATCGATCGTTCCTGACACCCAGGTGTCTCCAAGTTTAGGGGCTGAGTCACCATCCTAACAAGACTTTTGAGATCTCTGATTTCCCATTAAGGAAACCTCCACCAACTATCCTGGGTCACTAGGAAAGCATGTCTTTGATTGCCAAGGAGGAACCGGCCACTTCCCTGAGTCATCAAAGCACACCGATTGAAGTAGTATAGTTAAGCTAGGTGTTGCTCAGAATATCCGCAATAAAAAGAATTTCCTGCACATTTCTGAGCAGAATGTTGACATCTCTATTATTTGAATGTATGTATTCAAAATCTGTTTATTTCACCTTTCTCCTTAAAAGGATCCGAGGAGGCTTTAAAGCTGCCGTTCTCAACCTGGACGACTACTTCCGTTCAGAGTTGGGCCATTGTGTCTGAAGTGGGTCAGGGGAGGCGATCTTGAAGTCTAGAAATAAGTTTTTGTGTTTTTGTTTAAAAAAAATGAAAGACATTCTCACTGTGTGCACTGTGCACCAGCTTTTTCTCGGCTTGGTTTTCTCTGTAAAGTCCCCACCTAGAACGATGAAAGACATGTTTTTACTGCAGGGAGATGATTTCTTTCATCGTTTCTTTCATCATTCTAGGTGGGGACTTTACAGAACTTAGAAAGTTACTTTTAAAAGTGATTTCCCCCCATTACTTGTAGTATTTTCATTTGCCTAATGCTATACAGTGGGGTCTTGACTTAAGAACGGCTTGAGTTAAGAACATTTTGACTTAAGAACCGCTCTCATAGGAAAATATTGACTTGACTTACATACTTAGATTTGAGTTAAGAACTGAAAAAAAAAACCACGTGGGAGGCAGGGAAAGTGCAAAATGTGAACTTTCAGTTAACTGTTGGCCAGTGAAAAGGGGGCCTGTCTGCTTCCTCACTCCTCCCAGCGTTTAGAGAGTGGATTGGGAGACAGTCTTCAGACTGCCTGGTACTGTACTGCCTGGACTGTATTTTCCCTGCCTTCCCTGAACCTTTCTTGACCTAAGAAAAAAAGAAACAACATATCCCCCTCTAGTGGTCGAAGGCAGTATAGCAGCTTCCCATTAGTTTCTATGGTCGGAAAAGAGCAGATACGGATCAAATGGTTTTCAATGCATTCCTATGGGAAATGCAGATTTGACCTGAGAACTTTTTGACTTGAGAACCGCCTTCCAATACGGATTAAGTTCTCAAGTCAAGACCCCACTGTAAAAGGAAGCTTGCATCCTTTGTTGCTTTGCATTTTCACGCTTCATTAACAATTTTGCATTCTTGGGGTAATGGGTGGGAGATTTTAGGATGGATAACAGAACTGCATGCAAGTCCTTGAAAAATTCAAAAAGACACATTGTTTCGAAAATGCACTTTAAAAGTAACTATCAGAAATATTTTTTAAATGTTGCCAATTGTGTTAATGAAGCAGCTTCATTAACACATGTGGCGATCTCTGTCTTTGCTGTTCTTTTTTTTTTAATCCAATAAAAACAACCCGGTGAAATTAACCATGTTCTTTGTAGCTTGTGACTTCTAGGCCCAGGGATTCTGATTTATTCCTGGTGAGCACTTGACTCAAATAAACTATAAAACAGAGAAGCTTAATTCTGGCTCATTTGACCTCCCCATTTGTAAGGCGTGTTGATGTCCCACTGGACTTCCATGTCTGTGTTAGCTTAATAGAGCCTCCATGATCAGAAGTCGTTTACCTCTGAATAGCAGGCATTGGGACAAGCAGGAGCAAAGGACTGGTGCCTTTAAATTCTGCAATGCCATTGCAGAATGGCTCACTGGTACTGTGAGCAATAGTCGGACAAGTTCTTTTTTTTTGACTCAAAGTCCTAGAATTCTCAAAACCATGGTAATTTTAAAAAAGAAGATTTCCCCCACCTCCGGACTCTGGAATGGAGTCTGGGAGATCTTCTGAGGGAACATCATGGCGGGCGTTGCCCTTAGCCTTCTATGGGGTTTGCCTCCATGCGATGCCTCGGGTCACATTCTTTCTCCTTGGCCACGTGAGCAGTTGCTGAGATCACAGCAGGATGGGGGTTGGTTTTTGGAGTGCAGAGTGATAGGTTTCTCCGATTTGCAGTCCCTGTGGCTTGGGCTCACAGGAAACCTGTGGCACCCACTGAAGCTCTGGCAACAAGCGAAGAAATCAACGGCGTTTGCTCACTCAGCATTACTCAGCCTCTGCTGGTGTATTGCCGTGGCGTTCTATCCCTCAACCGTTGTGCTTTGGTGGCACTTCAAGTACAGCTCTCGCACTGTACTTTGACCTCTCTCTCTCTCTCTCTCACACACACACACACACACACACACCCAAGCGGGTGCCCTCCATATGTTTTGTACACAATTCCCATCATCCTAAGCCAGCAGGAGGGCTTGTGCTTTGGTGGCACTTCAAGTACAGCTCTCGCACTGTACTTTGACCTCTCTCTCTCTCTCTCTCACACACACACACACACACACACACCCAAGCGGGTGCCCTCCATATGTTTTGTACACAATTCCCATCATCCTTACCCATAGAGAGGGCATTAGTTTAGGAAAGGATGTTTTAAAGCCACAAAGAAGGGCCAGGCAACCCGTGACTCTCTTACCGTGGTTGGCCTGCCATTCCCATTGGCCCTGGCCAGCATTGCCAATAGTCAAGGGTGATGGGAGCTGTAGTTGGACAACATTTGAAAGAGTATAGGTTTCCTAGCCCTGCGAGTCTATGAACAATAGCTAATAAACTAAACGGCGTAGATGCATAAGCTACCCCATGCTTGTTTGTGGCTTGGAGGCCAACCCTTTCCCTAGACTTTTAATTATACTTTGCTTCTTCTTCTTTTAGCATCCTGGGCAGAAACCGTTGTCCATGGCTCCAGCTTTTGCAGAATGGACATCCGCTGGCTTCTTTCCGGCCATCTTTGCTGTGTCCCTCTTTGCAGCCGCTTGTTTCCTGGCTCTGTGCGCTTCCTGCAAAAGGTAAGGTGCCTGAGAATCCCACCCCACTGGAATGTGAACATTTAGGTACAATATTCATGCATGCTTTTTTCCTAATGTACACAAAAGTTCTTTTTGCAACCAATTTCTCTTTAAGCAATGCATTTGTCTGTGTCACATATTGTGTGTTTACTGTATATGTATCACCTTTGTATGACTCCAACAACCTACAGAGCTTGAGGTGTCCTCTCCGCCCCCCTGCAGCCGCTTTCTCCTCACAACAAACTTTCGCGGTAGGCCAGAGTGAGGCGGGGGGAAGTGGGTTAGCCTGAGGCCACCAAGTGCGTTCCGATACTGAGTGAGGATTTCAACCCCTGTGTGAGGAGCTGTGGCCGTTCCCTCCACAATGAGACCGTACGTACTGGTATAACACCACTTTTATTGTACACACACAAAGATCCGATACTGAGTGAGGATTTCAACTCCTGTGTGAGCAGCCGTGGCCGCTCCCTCCACAAGGAGACTATGTACTGGTAGAACACCACTTTTATTGTACACACACAAAGAGCGTCACAATGTCACAACAGTTCTTGTGGCCCAAGGCTTGTCTTTGCCCGTGAATTTGGGAGTTGTAGTTCCTCATCGGCGCAGGACCTCTGGGCTGACCGAACGGAAAGTCTCTATCAGAAACCACCCCCCGCAGGTGTGATGGACTCCCATCCTGAGATGACTCAGGTCCCTCCGAAGGAGGAGCTGGAAAAAGTCCAGGTGAACTCAGGCCCCCTCCCCAGGCGGCCAAGAGTCCACTCCCTGCGTCTTGCCCCAGAGCCTCTGGTCACAGTTCCAGCATGAAGCGACTTCCTTAGTTCCCCCAGAAGTTACTTCACTCCTTAGGCTAGTGGTCCCCCAACCTTGGGCCTCCAGATGTTCTTAGACTACAGCTTCCAGAAGCCTTCACCACCACCTCTTCTGGCCAGGATTTCTGGGAGCAGAAGTCCAAGAACATCTGGAGGCCCAAGGTTTGGGGAACCCCTGCCTTAGGCGGTTGAGTGTGGCTTGCAAAGAACGCCCATCCAGCCAAACTGCCGAATCCCCAACAGGGAGAAGTCTCTCCCCGTTCCCCTGCTTCTCCCTCTAGCCCTCGGTGCCTAAGCCGGGCAGGTGTCAGGCTCAATGTCAGAAAGAAACAGAAGGAGAGGAGGGAAGGCAAGGTGGGTGGAAGTCCCTCCAGCGGTCGGGAGTTTCCCTGAACTTGCAACCAATCTGCCTCCCACCCCTCGTGTCCTGGTCTCATCCTGATCACTTCTGCAGGGCAACACTACCTCCATGACCTTCTCCCCGGTCTCTCTCCTCCTCCGGCAACACGCCTTGTCCTCTGCTGCTGTTGTCAGGAATTCCCATCCCCTTCTTTCTCGGGAGTCTCCCTCTCCTTCTCAGCTCTCCCTTCTTTCTAATCCAGCCAAGGGCCGCTGTGCCTGTGGGGCCATGACGGGTGTCTTCTCTGCTCCACGCTCCAGGTTTTCTGCATGCAGATAACAGTCCCCCCTGACTTGCCGAGGCTCTGGGACTTAGCCACAGCTGGCCAGCCGATAGTTGCTGGTTCAGACCAAATAACTCCAACCCTAGCAGAGCTCTGATCACATCGCTCTATGCTGCTCCAGACACTTGGTCTAATGCACTGGTTCTTAACCTTGGGAGACTTAGCCACAGCCGGCCAGCCGATAGTTGCTGGTTCACACCAAGTAACTCCAACCCTAGCATTCTTTGCTGGAATGGAGTTGTTGAGAGAAATGTGAAACCTGAAGGCCCTAAGGACGATGGATCACGCAACGTTTCTTTCTGAGCTCTGGTATCTCTGATGTTTCCACCTGGTTAGTCCATTATTTATTTATTTATTTATTTATTTATTGGACTTATATACCGCCCCATAGTACTACAAGCACTCTCCGGGCGGTTTACAATTTCATTATACAGGCTACACATTGCCCCCCCCAGCAAGCTGGGTACTCATTTTACCGACCTCGGAAGGATGGAAGGCTGAGTCAACCTTGAGCCGGCTACCTGGGATTTGAACCCCAGGTCGTGAGCACAGTTTTGGCTGCAGTACAGCAGTTTAACCACTGCGCCTTATAATTCACGCCATCGCTTTTCTGTCTTGCAGGACGGACAACAACAGAATGCCAGCCCAAGATGAGGAATTGCGGGATGAAGCTGTAAGTAGTGCTTCTTTCCTCCCCCCACCCAAATACTCATTTTGCTTTCCTTATTATTAGGAAGCTTTCGTCTGGCATGATACATTTTCAGGGGGGAGACCTGGGGGAGGAGAAATGGCAGGCTGTGCTCCAATGTTTGTGCTAATCTAATTTTCAATTCCGGCATGTAGCCTCTCCATGAGATCACCATCTCCGGTAAGGGCAAGGAGTACAGGTGGCTGCTTCTCACCTGTCCTGCTCAACAGAAGCACGCTGGGAGCTTATTCTCACCTCCTTCCTGTGCTGCATTGAAACGAGGCAAGCCAGAGAGGGGAGCGCTCCTTCAGCCCTGAGGGTGGGAATCAATTTTGGAGAGCCTTTCAGAGTTAGGATGGGGATAAAGTCAAAGAATGAAGCCAAATATATGGGCACCTTGCAACTTACAGTTCTTATGACCATGATGAATGTTAGAATTCAGATTTTTTTGGAATGGGAAAAGAAGCCTGCATGCAAGGTGAAAAAAGGATCAATGGAAATGCCCCTAGACAGGGTCTTTGGCCGTCTGTGAAACCCCATTTGGGTCTGATGTCTGCGGTTCCCCACTTCCCTTAAGGAGAAGGGCCAGTGGAGACCACCTGAGCATGCAGGAGGTTTCCTCCACTCCCCCATAGAACATTGACATCACTCTGCAGTCATGGGACTTGATGGCTATGCTCAGTGGAGCCCTTTGCACCCCCAGCCGGACCTGCCATGCGTGTGCGGAGGTGAACACAACTCAAGAACAATCTCTTAAGCTCTGGCTGCTCCCATACTGGATTTGAAATGTGCTGTATGAATTGCATTTCATGAACGTCATATCACCAGCTTGGTGGGAGCCACATGTGTAGAAAGAAACCGCACATCACATCCTGTACTTACCAGCTCATTGTTCTCAGAGGAGCTCATCTCACCAAAGTGCTATCTGGGTGGAGAAATGTTTCTGCCACTCAACATGTAACTGATTCCAAGGAGACCAAGAAGGGTGGAAGTTTATAAAAAAGGAAAATTTGAAGGCACAACTACAAAATTCTGACAGCAAAAAGGGCCAATGTGGCTTCACAAAAAAAAAGCTCAGAGAGGACCTGAAAACAAAAAAAGGACAAGCAGAGGAAGTGGAAAGAAGGCCAGGCCACGAAAGAAGAGTACAGACAAGTAGCAAGGAATTGCAGGGAAAAAGCTGAGATTGAGCTGAGGTTAGCTGGAGACACTAAAAGCAACAACAAAAAAAGCATTCTTCAGGTAGTGTACATGTGCAGCAAAAGACAGTAGCTTAGCTGTTCAATGGGAATGGGAAAATGCTAACAGATGTCAAAGAAAAGGCAGAGGTGCTCAATTCCTGTTTTAGCTCCGTCTTTTCCCATAGGACAGACGATGAACCTCCAGACAAATGTGAAGTGCAAGTGGAGGGGACAGGGTTGCAGCCGGAGATTGATAAACAAATAGTCAAGGAATACCTTACCACCTTGAACGAGTTCAGATCTGGATGGGATCCTAGGAGTAGCCATAGGGAGAACAGCCTATAAAACCCTTTGGGGGTACCCAGATCAAGGGGGTCCGCGGGAAGGAGGACCAGTCACCCCTCTGACATCACCCCACAATGCCAGCTGGATTGGAAGGGGCTCTCCAGCATACGGGGAAAGTCTGCAGGTCTCCTTTTTTGCTATAATGACTGTATCTACCATCTGTCTATTGGATAAACCTTTGAAGACACCAGCTGATTTCTGTCTTCACCAGGACTCAAAGAATTGGACCCCACCATTTGGTCTAAAACAGTGGTTCCCAGCCTTGGGCCTCCAGATGTTCTTGGACTGCAGTTCCCAGATATCTTGGCCAGAACAGCTCATGGTGAAGGCTTCTGGGAGGTGTAGTCCAAGAACGTCTGGGGACCCAAGTTTGGGAAGCACTGGTCTAGAAAAATAGTATTAGCACAGCTTCCATCCAGAATTTGAAGGGCTCATGTCTAGGGACCCAAGGTTGGGAAGCACCGATCTAAAAAAAATAGTATTAGCGCAGCTTCCATCCAGAATTTGAAGGGCTCATGTCCCGGGGATTTAAGGCAAATATTCTGCAGAATCCGCATACCTGCCGTGTACCTTTTCTAGGCTCTGGCTTGCTTAAAATGCGGCTCATTTCCTGGGCCACGGATGGAGACAATCTTCCTTCATCACCTTCCCACTTTTCTTTTCCAGGCTCTGCTGAGACAGATGGAGCTTTTACCCCTCAAGGGTTCGGCCTCTAACCTGCCAAAGCTCAAGAGGGCCAATTCCAGAGGAAAAAGTACGTAAGTGGCTGCAAACTTGAAGGCCAATTTCTTTGTTTTTGCAGAAGGGAGAAAACCATCCCTTCAGGATGACAACTGGAGGAGCCATAAGGAGGCTTTCAGTCCACTCCGGACGATGGCACTTGGATTGTTGTAATGCAGAACCCAATGGTGGCTTATATACGGGGACTATTTTACTACACTGTTACAACTAGCTTCATCCATAGATGGGCTAGAACAAGTGAGCAACCTGTGTTCCACCGTTGAACAACAACTCCCATGATCCACACCATTGGCTGTGTTGGAAAAAAAAAGCTGAGGGATTTGAGGACTTATCATCTCTTAAATGCTGCATGCTGCCTTTCGAAGCCTAGACATATTTACCAGCCACAAATTTATTTTATTTTATTTTTTGCTCTAGCCTAGAAAGCACACCCCAAAAACCAGACAGCACAAAATATTTAGAAGCCCTGTCGAGCCAAGCTGATGTAACTCACACCTGTTTCCTGCCTGATGGCGGAGGGACCTTCTCCCACAGCTGTACAAAAGGCGTCGTGTAGCGTGGCACAGAATGTCAGGAGGGGTGGGTGTGCGCGCACACATGTGTTTGTTTGTGTGTGTGCTCGTGCATATGTGCATGCATGTGTGAAAAGTTCTGAGGGTGTAGGTGTGCAAAACGGACGTCGCCACGGCTGTGGGGGTGGGGAAGCAAGCCCCAGGAATTTTATTTTCCATCATTCATTGGTACCCGGGGCCGAAAATGATGGCGTGTCCTTCCTTCCTTCCTTCCTTCCTTCTTTCATTGATACCCAGGGACGAAAACGATGGTGTGTCCTTTCTTCCTTCCGCCTCCAGATCAAAGCTCGGCTGGAGTCAGCGTCTCTTATGAAGATGATGGGACTGTGTCCAGCTGCAGTTTCATCATCCTCCCGCAAAGAGATTTGCCCCAGACCCCCTCAGAGGATCCGTTGCCTCCGGAGGAAATGTATTCAAACCTGACCTTCCCGAAACGAGCCCTGGAGGTGTTCTATGAATCTGTAAAGGTGAATGAAGAAGAACCTGAGGAGACCTGTGTGATCCCAGAGGAAGCTGCTGGTGGGGTCCAGGCGGACCAGCCTGTGGAGGTGGCCTATGCCCGCGTGCTGAAAGGAAAGCAGAAGAAAAACCACAGCGGACCGGAGGTGGGGGCGTCTCAGGAGCCTTGCCCAGGAGGGACAGTTTTGACTCCAACTGTGCAGGTATAAGAGACCAACTTGCCTCTGCAACATGCATAATCTATAGGGTTATTTCTGAGATTTCTAAAACAAATCACACCAATTGAATTTTTAAAATTTAAGATAGTTAGCTCCCCACCAGAGCCCGATAAGAGGCTTGGAATGTGGTACTGTATCAAAGCAACCTTCTTCCTCAAACCAAAATTATCTTGTGTTGTGTTAAACGTGTGCTGCTTATCTACTGCCCCATAGGGCTTAAAGCACTTTCTGGGTGGTTTACAATTTAATTATGCAGGCTCCACGTTGGAAGAGGCGGAAGAAAGAGGTACATGGAACACACCTTGGGTGGGTTCTGTGGTGAACGCCCTGAACCACCGAGCCTCCATTTGCGCCTTCTCTTGAGATATCTAGGAAGTCAAATGTTTTCCCTCATAATTCCGAGGATTAGACATTTGCTGGGCTTTTTTTAAAGTAACAAAGTGAAAAATTAAAAAAAAAATCTATGTCTCACAGGCCAAATCTTATAGAAGAGGACAGACCCCACACAATATTTCCTGGGTGTGAAATCAAAATTTTTAGAGGCATGCCATGCAGCCGCAGATATAAATACGATCCAAAGCCATTTTGTTGCTGTCCCACAAACGGCTTTTTCTTTTATAGGTGCAAGACATGTACTCTGTGGTATGTAAGAACAAGAGGAAAACAGCCCACAGCTGTGAGGGGCTTGGTGACGAGAGAACCTCTCCAATGAAGGCAAGCCCAGGAAACTGCCGCAGGGTGTCTGTCGGTGATGAGGAATCAGGTGGCAGGCCAGGAGACTGGTCCCCCTCATCCTTCGAGTCCCCCGTGACTGAACCTTGCTATGAGTCCGTCCGTTGCAGATCCTGGGGAGACGCAGGCAGGGAGAAAACCACCGAACCGGCTTACGAGACTGTAGACATCCTCTGGGAAAATCCAAGGGCAAAAAAGAAGTTGAAGAAGAAAGTTCCTGCAGAAAACCTATACGAGAGTATTGAAAACTTGGCCTTTCAGTGCCAGAATCTAAACATGGCATCCCGTTTTGAACTCTGATTCCTTTGGACTTTGCCCCCTCTCCACTTGTTCGTGGGGTATTTCCAATACTGTAAAATGAATGAACGAATAAACCCAGCAGAACCTTTATAAAATACTAGTGCCTGTCAGGTATCAATAAAAGTCAAAGGCCAATGGTTATTGTACATTAACAGCCTCGTACTACCAAATGTTGATTTCTTTGTGGCAGAGGGAGACGGTTATGGATATTGACTTCCCAGCAGAGTATCAATCAGGTTTTATGTATGCATGTTTAGTACCAAATATTGGGAAGTCTCTACACATCGTATTTATCATCAGCACCTGTTGCTATATTTATCAATTGGACCCATTTCGCTGTGCTGAAGAAGTGTCAGGAGCTGGAACATCATCATGAAGCAGTCTGAAGACGTGAATGTCGCTCACTTCTGCCGTGACACAGATTCTGCTGTTGAACAAATTCAGTTTTGAAATGCAAAGTGTGTTTAAATCACTCTCTGGGCGGTTTACAATTTAACCATGCAGGCTACATATTCCTCCCCCCCCCCCAAAACGAGCTGAGTACTCATTTTACTGACTTTGGATGGATTAAGGGCTGAGTCAACCTCAAGCCGGCTACCTGGGATTGAACCCCAGGTCGTGAGCACAATTTTGGCTGCAGGACTGCGGTTTAACCACTGAGTCACAAGGCTCCCTAATTTATAGAGATTCCCATCACTATGGAGAATTTCCTTGAGAAGCTAAGGAATAGTTTTTTAAAAAAAGCTTTAACCAATTTGTTCTTCCGTTTTCCAAATCTTGACGAACTACTAATAATAGCAAATGTTCCTAACGCTACATAATGGGGTTGTGATGCAATGACATTTACTGTTTAGTCTCTCATTCCTCGGGCGAGGGTTTCTCAAGAAGAGTTCTTCGTTTATTTGCTTTTTATCTGCACAGCTTTTAACGGCTTCCAGCCTGCTTAAAAATCAGAGGCCTGTGCCTTATAAAACTGTAAAGCAGCCCCAAGCTTTCTACAGACACATTTGGCTTTGAAAGAAACAGTGAAACTCTTAATTGATGAGACGTGGGTTCGGGTGCCAAATGAGAAGGGGGGAAAAAAATAAAATATGAAAAAGCCAAAAATGTCACTGCAGGGAGGAAGGGGAACTCTTCAGGGGTTGACATAAAGACATTTAAACTAGGTGATATTTAAAATTCAAAAGCCTTGCTGATGGAAGTCTAGAAGCCTCACAATAGCTCCCTTCCATGTACTTTTGGTATGGGTCAAACCTTGGAAATGTGACTTTTCTGAACCAACAAGTCCTAGAATTCCCATAATAGAATTATAGAGTTGTAGAGGTAGAAGGTAACCCAACGGCCATGGCGCCCAACTCTTGCAGAACTAGGAAATCCACAGCTAAAGCATTCTTGGCAAATAGCCGTGCCACATGGTGACATGTCAATGGATGCTAGGAAGTCGTAGTCCCAAAATTCAAATATTTCCTGTTCCCATTCATCTTGGTCAGCTTGGCCAAGGCTGAGGTGCGATGGGATTAGCAGTGCATCAAATCGGGAGGACCAAAGGTTCCCCAGCACTGTCTCTTACCTGGATAATCTCTAGGTTGTTGCAACACAACAATCCGATTACCCATGTGTCCGGTCCTACTGAGGGGGCTGGTGGGGCTGAGAATGGGGTCACCCGGGGAGGGCACGATGGTGGGGAATGCACAAAGCTGTTGCTGCTTTTTGTTGTTGCAGGGTGGACGAGAAAACCATGATGATAACAGTTGATGCAGCTATGCGCAGAAGGAAATCAACCCTGAGTGCTCACTGGAAGGACAGATCCTGAAGCTGAGGCTCCAATCCTTTGGCCATCTCATGAGAAGAGAAGACTCCCTGGAAAAGACCCTGATGTTGGGAAAGGGTGAAGGCAAGAGGAGAAGGGGATGACCGAGGACGAGATGGTTGGACAGAGTCATCAAAGCGACCAACGAGAATTGGACCCAACTCTGGGAGGCAGTGGAAGACAGGAGGGCCTGGCATGCTCTGGTCCATGGGGTCCAAAGAGTCGGACATGACTAAACGACTAAACGACGATGCACAGAATGGAGAGGAAGACCGCTTTTCTCTGCCTGCCCCTTTCAAACATAATAATAATCATGGCCATCAAATCAATTCCGACTTACACAGATCCCCTTTAGGATTTTTAGGGTAGAGAATACTCCAAAGTGGTGTCCCATTGCCGCCTTCTAGGAATGTGCAGCTGGCCCAAGGCCACCCAAGCTGGCTCTACTCACAGGAGGCACCAGTGAGGAATCAAACTCCCAGCCTCTGGCTCTGCAGCCAGAGACCTGAACCACGGAGCCAGCCAGCCAGCCTTAATCATAATTAGGTGGTTGTTTCTTTAAACTTTATTTGCAGAAATGTTGCTCTCCCTCCCTCCCTCCATCTCTCTCTCCTTTCTCTCAGTTGAAAACCTAAGTGGCACTTACAGTGGAAAATATCCCACCCACTCATCCCGCTTGCCCAATGTTTACTTCCTTTGTGAGCGGCAACTGGCGATGGGCCAGTCAAGAGAACACACTTATCAGGTGTGTCACTCTGGAGATCCTGCACCAGGAGGCAAAGGTTGAAGGAATGAAAACGGCAGCTCACGCAGCACAAAAAAGGAATGGAGCAGACGGCTGGCTGAACGTCGGCTCTTGTCACCTCCTCCACTTCCGCCATGTTTTCTGGTTGAATAATATTTTTAGAAGAACGTCTCACTCATCTGGAGAATTCAGGCAGTTGTAGTCCACCAGGTAACATCTCCAAGCTCTGGATGCCTACGTGAAGCCCACGACCAAGAGATGAGCCCAACAGGAGGCTCTGATGTTGAGAGAAACAAGGTGTTAAAAACAGAAGGGCCAAAATCTTGTTGCTTGGTGATGTAAATTGCACTAGAGCGGGCCCATTGAGTCAATGGGGATTTAGAAAATCAACTCCTCCCTAAGTTCCATTGATTCGACTCTAACTATGAACTAATGTGCTAAGGTCAATGGCCATGAGAACATATACAGCTGGCTGGATAGCTCCGTGGTTCAGATCTCTGGCTGGAGGTTGGAAGTTCAATTCCCCCACTGTGCCTCTTGTGAGTACAGCCAGCCTGGTTGGCCTTGGGCAAGCTGCATGGTGCTCCTAGAAGAAGGAAATGAACGGTAAACTACTTTTGAGTACTCTACCTAGAAAAAAAAACAACATTAAAATACAAATACACATTAAACTTTCCCCACCAGTGCCACCTTCACCCTTGGGACTAGGTGACCACTAATATCAATTTATATTCCTTTTTGCCCCATATCACCCCAAAAGTACATTGATTCTTTCACTGGCATATAGCTTTTCCCCTTCAAAAAGACATACTCCAAATATAAATTCCACACATCTTTGAAATCATTATCATTTCCCTTCTTATTTTCATTTCACAAGTTAACTTATCATTGATTGCTTAAGCTCCACATTTCTTCAAGATGAATTGGTCTGTCGCTTTTCCAGTTCTTTGCAAATATTAATCTTGCTCCTGTAGCTTGCGTTGTGCGAATGGTAAAATCTAAATTGATTTTGTCGCTTTTCCAGTTCTTTCCAAATATTAATCTTGCTCCTGTAGCTTGTGTTGTGCGAATGGTAAAATCTAAATTGATTTAAATTATGCTGAAATGTGGTTCTTATTGCCAGTGTGACTGTAGCTTTGTCGGTTTCAACATGGGTAACAAAAAAATAAAACAAGAGGAGCTGTATTTTCCGACTTCCTCCTACGTTAAATAGGTGTGATGAGAACAAGTAACAACGTAACAAGTAATATAAGTAACAACGACTCATTAGCCAGCTGTCATTTGCCACTGCAGTTTACACTACTGTAAAGGAAGTGGGTCGCAATCCACAAACATTCACTCTGAAATAAATAAATCTGTTAGTTTTCTTATAGTGCTTCTGTCTACATGTTTATTATCCATTTAGTAGCACGTTTCACTTTCTGCCACAAGAGGGTGACAGGGCGCCCAGAATACTGGGAACATCTTACTTAACCTTGAGTTGTCTTTGTAATAATGGTTGATAATGGAGGGAGGGAAATAAATTGGAATTTATATACTATGAAGAGTATGTAAAGGGTAGGACAAGCTGGAAGATTCTGGGAGTTGTACAAATAAATTAGAATTTATATATTATGAATAATATGTAAAGGGTAGGACAAGCTGGGTAGGACAAGCTGAGTTCCAGAAAAATATCTACTTCTGCTTAGTCTTCACAAAGTAACTTTTCCAAGCAATGAAAGATGCCCGAGAGGCCCAATCTCTGGACAGGAGCATCTCAGCCTGACTCTGGCCCTTGCACCTGGTCCTCGGAAGGGCAGTGAAGATGGCATAGGGAATTCTGGGTGTTTTAGTCCAAAAATACAAATCTGAACACTTCTGATAATATGCTCCGCCTAGTCAAAGCGATGGTTTTTCCAGTAGTGATGTATGGAAGTGAGAGCTGGACCATAAAGAAGGCTGACCCCCAAAGAATTATGCTTTTGAATTGGGGTGCTGGAGGAGACTCTTGAGAGTCCCCTGGACTGCAAGGAGAACAAACCTATCCGTTCTGAAGGAAATCAACCCTGAGTGTTCACTGGAAGGACAGATCCTGAAGCTGAGGCTCCAAGACTTTGGCCATCTCATGAGAAGAGAAGACTCCTTGGAAAAGACCCTGGTGTTGGAAAAGGGTGAAGGCAAGAGGAGAAGGGGATGACAGAGGACGAGATGGCTGGACAGTGTCATTGAAGCTACCAACATGAATCTGACCCAACTCCGGGAGGCAGTGGAAGACAGGAGGGCCTGGCGTGCTCTGGGCCATGGGGTCATGAAGAGTTGGACACGACTAAACAACAACATTGTGTTTAAAGTTCTCCTCTAATTGTTGTGTTTTTGGTGCACTGTTTCAAAGAGCCTGAGTCAGTGTGCTCTTGTGCACTGGAACAATGTGGTTCTACATACCTGCAGGTACTTATTGCAAACCTGGAAAATGATAAATGGAAACCAGTTCAAAACACAGGTGTACATATGGCCACCGGTTGCTCATTATCACAGTACAGTAAATGAACAATACCACTTATAAGGTAGCCAACTCCCCTTGCCGTAGTAGCAGTCTTTGCACTGATATCAACATTTCC